GCTTCTGAAGCCTGGAAAGTGGAGGCAAGCTGCTAAAATTAATCTTCAGAAATAATCAGCATTGAAATACAAAATGAACTTCATATCAATAAGCATTTTTCCAGTTATGAAACATGACTGGATCTATTCAAATGCAGGATGCCAGGGGCAGACATGAAAGTTATTTCATGGCTGTGGTTTCAATTGTGCAGCAGCTACTGTGATGGAATTTTATCCTACTGTGCTAGAGTCTCTGGCTGACATAACAGGAAAGACAACACTGTATTTAATTTTCTCTCTCCTCCACTGTAATTCATTTTTCCATTACACACAAATAATAGAAGGCCATAAGGATGAGAAATAAATTAACAATTCTGAAGCCTGATTTATAATCACAGATAATAGCACTAAACTCAAGCAGCAGAATACCCTATCACAACAGTTACAGGACTTCAGGCATAAACCAGGGAGAATGGTAACATTCACAACATCACATTAGTGACAAAGGTGAAGCAATTAGAAAATTAGGGGAAAGTATTTTTTAAAATAATGTCATGTTTTACATAAAAAATAAATTAAAAATTATCTCCACCACTCGTTGCATTTTTTCCACTACCTGGCTACCTCATGGAACCACTATAAGCTTTTATCATACTGAGAACAAATGTCATATTTCATATCTTTCCAAATATAACCAACATTTTTTTTCTAACAAATATGAACATTGCTGTAGTTGTAAGGTACTATGTAAACATCCATAGTCTTTACAAAGAGAGAAAAAAAAAAAAGGAAAAAAACGACTGAACCAAAATCCTTCTGTTTTCTAGATGGATTTTGATTCAGTATGCACTAAATATGACTCAGTATCCTCAGAAGACAGCACTAATTCTTCACTAATTATCAAGCCTACAAGTTATACTATGGTAGTATTACAGATAATGAAGTTAGACTTTTCTTCCTTTTTTTTTTTTATGCTTTAGGCAAACAGTCTTGCTTTAGGGGAATTATTCTAGCTCTGTGGAAAATTCTTTTCGGCTTACACACATACATGAAGGGCATGTTATAGGTAGTATGCTATAAACTGCTCTATAATTGAAATGCAGATATATAGATATCCTAGATACATATTTTGTTTCCCATCATTTTATCACTTTGAACTGATTCAAAGTAGTAACTCTTCAACAGAGACCTCAGTAGATTCTCCAACTCTAAATTACCTCCAGTGGCTCTACCAACTACATAAGGGGACTCCTCAGACACCTAAATTGTGTCAAAATAAATTGTGTGAGTACTAATTTTCTTATCTTTCATTTTCTGACACTTAGTGTATCAGAAAGAATGTGTACTATTTGAGAAGAGGGATATATTTAGCAAGGAAACAGGCGTCTGGCAGTTTATAAACCATTAGGGTGGCAGGGTTGTGGTCAATTTACAAAACTGGCTTCATCTGGATTAAGAAAAGTGGGAAAACCTGTCCAAAATCCTTCAAGGGATTTTTTTGTTTCAGTAACTTTTCCCATTAAAAAATAAGTAAGTGCTCTGATAAGCCAGGAATTAGAAAAATTTAAACCATGAAAGCTAAGCTAGTTGAAATCAAAAGGACTCTTATCCTGAAAGCTGGTCATTGCAGATGGACCATTCTAACCACACAATGCCTTACTCAATTTGAAAACGGCCAACATGAGGGGATCTGACTGCAGAATTAGGACATTTAGATTAACAAAACTGTAGGAACATCCCTGCAGCTCTTTTGTTCGCATTGCACTTCTCATCACAAAGTCCTTTTGTACCTGTAAAACAGTATCCATTTTACCTTTGAAAAAGTGTAGCAGATAACTATGTTACTGTTCTTTGATAAAACACCAAATACATGGGGGTTTGCTCTATATTCAGAATACAAGAGAAAATTATATAGTAATCAGCATGACTGTAAGTCAGGTAAACATGAAGGAAAAATAACAGAAGGAACCATTTTACTAAAAGAAAAAAAAATCCAGAAAAACAGCAGAACCTTCAGGAATGTTTAAGGAACAGCTATAATTTTCCTTCCAATATATTTCTGACAGTAGAATTAGAATAAGTAACATCTATGTACTGAGTTTTTGATGCACAAAAAGAGGATTAGTCCTGTCAAGTCCTTGGGCAATAGCCTAAACTGTTTTCTAAATGTTGTCTCCTAAGAAAAGAAAAAAAAGGTCAGAAAAAAGAACAGAAAACTGAAAGAATGACATTCTGTGTAATCAGGAACTAGCACACTTCACTCCCAGCAAGTCTTTTCAAAATTGTTTAAAAAATTCCAGAAAAAGCACCACTCAACAGTGATTATATTTTTTGTGGTTTACTATAAATAATTTCAAAGAAAATGAAAATTGGGTAAAGGGATTTATTATTTATGACATGACAGCATTTCTGATATCATATTCACAGAAACCATAAAGAAATAGGATGCTTCTTAATAGAGTTTGCATTTTTAGATTCTTGTCTGCAGCTTCTATCTTCTCCTCTTACCTAATAATTAATAATGTATTTTACTATATCATTGCATGAGTTTCTGAAGATTGATCAGATTTAGTCCTTCCTTTTATTTCTTCTTTTTTCAGAAACTCATTTTATATTTGGCATAGATACCCTAGAATAACTGAATGTCCTTTTCCTGTTTAGAATAAGTTTTTAAAAATAAATTGTAAAAAATGTATACTAAAATACTTTTTCTGGAAAAAAAATATTAAAATGAGATTTTGCACTCCAAGACCTAAAATGTATGTTCCAGTGAAAGTTTTAAATTGGGTCACAAATGACAGCAATTTATTAGACTGAAGAATAAAAAGTTTAAAAATATTTCTGGTAAGAATCAATCTGTTCCTTCAACTTTCTGAACATTTCAATGCAAAACTTTTAATATCAGCTATAAAACTCTTCTTCTTCACATTGCCTGGAAAAAAACTTGAGTGTTGTTTGTTCTAATTACGTGCTAAGAAAGTGTAGCTGCTATAGATTTTCTTCTCTCCATATCTTTCTGATTAAAATGTTTTTGTGAATGTATTATAGGAACAAGAAGCATGATCCTTGCAAATACCAGATTGTGCTGTGCATTGTCACGATGACTTGGTAGACCAATCTTAAAGAGAAACGTTTTACAAAATGCCTCAGACAAGCACTAAATGCAGTGAATAATCATGCAGTAATTTCTTTAAAAACCATTATGCCTGAGGGAATAAAGTAAGTAAACACTGCTGAATATGGTTGATGAAATTTTGATTCATTCCCTCCCTAAAGGGATGCAGTTCATATGTGAGGTCTTGCTGGTGTCTCTGAAACTAATAAAAAAGAGCCTTCTTCATCTTAGAGGTTTTGGTTTTTTGGTTTTTCTGGGGGGCGGGGAGCATTGAGGAGCAATTAAGCAGTGCTAATGAAATCTATCAATTTTACCATAATCTGCCATCAAGACTAAGAAGCAGGCAAAAATGCTAAGATGGGGAAAGCAAAAAAAAGGAACTAGATAGCAATATACAATTTCAACCACATTGAGAGACACTGAACTTGGAATAACTCAGGACAGAGATGTCTGAGTCCCTGCAGAGTCTGGTTGTTAGCTGCTACTGACTGAAAGTTTTATCAAAGATACAGTCCTGCTATGGATGCAATGGGATACCCCATAACTGCACAATTCTTTTACTGAAAACTTCAGCCAAATTGAGTGTAAAAAGAAAGCAAAATTCATATCGTGCAGGTAGCTAGATTCTAGCATTGTCTTGCCATATGATTGCTTTTCACTTACAAATCCTAAATTAATTTCAATTGTACCATGTTACAAAACATAGGCTTCTTCAGCAGTTAACAAGGACACCAAAAAGTTGAGTCTGCACTCATTGTTGATGTCTATACATAGGCATTTCCCCTTGAACCAATTTGTGACATGTACACAACCTCAGTTCTGCTACATCAACGTGTTTTCAGGTTAACTGATATTGAAGAAAATTTAAATTAACTTGGGGACAGAATCTGACAGGCTACTGCACAGTGGCAGAAATATTGCCAACCTTCTGCATGCTCTTGCTGCAAGAAGGTGCCTAAAAGCACTCTCTCCATGCACCACTGAAATACACATTTCTTCAACACTCTGATTTCCTTATCTAGCCATGTTGCAGCCCAAGTTTACTGCTAAATGAAGTGTGTGCCAGTAGGTTTCTCATTTGCTACTGTAGGAACTGTGTCCCCGAAACAGAGTCTGCTCATGTCTCTTGGTGAAGGAGTACGGCTCTGCACACTTCTGAACACATACACACTATTAACTTCTGACTGACATTACCTCAAATATAATTAAGTAATAAAAACCCTTCTTTTAGGGCCACACTCCTATTTTTACTCTGCTAAATACTAGAAACAATGTCAATTAAAAAAAAATTACTATGAATTTGCGATGGTGCATTCGAAAACAGAATGAGGTAACTACTATATGTGACCAGTTCTTCTTAAGTCACAGTTAACATGCTTTGTACTTGACTGTGAAAAAATACAAATTATAGATAAACTTAAATGGCAAATGAAGTATGTTGTAAGAATATCTAGGATGTACAGCACTGGACTTGGAGACATTAGTGTACTATAACCTATTATCAAAAATAAATGATGGAGGGAAATAGGAGGTATTTTCAGATCACATTCCAGCTACTCCTCAACTGCTAGAACAGTCACTTAAAAGGTCACTGTAGCTTGCAACACTTGTGGTTCCCCTGAGACCACTCTGAGTTGTTAATTCAGATGACATCCATGCTTAAAAACCTGATAACCAAGGAACTGTACAGTGTCATCACTTGGCATCAGAAGACAGGTAATGAGCAAGAGTGTCAAGGCAACAACATTAATTTTTAAGACAAAGTAGAACTGTGGAAACTCTGAAGATATAAGAAATACACAGCTGTGTTTCTTTTTCAAGAGTATTTAAAATTTAATGCTTGCTTCAGCTACTGACTTAAAATCACAAGCATCCTCCACCCCACAAGTATCTGCCTGGGACTTACCGTTACTCCAAAGAAGTTCGTTTCATTCATAGCATCCAGAAAAATTTTGCCAAGTTTGTGATTTGTATAGTTAAAATCTTCAATTTTTTGGTGCTTGTTGGTGGCATTGAGATACTTCATTGCCCGCTGCAGAGTCTTGGCAATCACCCATATTCCATCATAGGCATAACCATGAAATTTGCTGGACTGTCCATCACCACGCTTAGCATTGTATTCCTTTTCATATTGCTGTGGAGTCTGCAGGTGAGAAAAACTTCAGGTTTACTTCAATACTTAACATTTTACAGATCTGGGTCCAAACCTATGCCCTGAATCACACTCTCTAATTTAGAGACATGCATTGCTAATACAGAAAAGACTGCCAAAACAAACACTAATGAAGAAACATGTGCTGCCTGACTTACAAGACTGATGGTGAGACTGGGTAGGAGACCTAGGAGACAGAGAGACTGAAAAGCAGTCATTCCGCTTCTCTGTATGAAGGACAATTTGCCTTATTTTGCTTTCACACAAAAGGCTTCAGTTCAACCAAAGCTACCAGCATACTGGTGAGCCATAATGCTAGAACAGAGAATAAGTCTGTAGCCCTGCAAGTTAGTGGTTTGATTACACTGATTAATGTGAAATTATTTGAGTGGCAATTGTCTATGTTTTACAAGTTTACTATGCTCTTTATGGTGTATCTTCTTATGATGAGTTGCTTTTTTGTAGAATTGCCTTTCGTGCTCACTCAGCAAGGCATGAAAGACAGATGAGAAAAGATGAAAAGCAGCAAAATCAGCATGTTTATTCATTGGCTAGTGTTTGCATGCATTTGTTCTGTGATAAAATCTTACATACTTTACGGAAGTACCACATATTTACATATTTAAAACAAGCCCTGCCCCTAGTTGTAAGAGGCACACATCACCAATGAAATTAGCCATTTGCAGGATTAGGGTTAAACATAAAATTTTTCTGTCTCTGTGCTCAACTATTTAACTTGACATGATGCAGCATGTGATACTGCAGACTATAATTCAAACTTTACTGTAAATTTAACTGTAATGTTCATACAGGGGGAACAGAAGAGATTTGAGGCAAGGGACTTTATTGCTTCCTTACCCTGTAGAGAATTGGAATTGATTTCTAAATATTTAAAAATTGCAAACCAGGGGAAAGATGAGAATAACCATGATGACTGCCAGCTCTCTTTGCAGAAGAGCACTTTACATTCACCTCCCTCCTCTGTGCTTTTCTGTGTCAAGACACTGGTGAGAAAACTGATTGCATAATGAAATAGTTGGAGGAAAAATACTAACCCTCCCTGATATGGTCTTTATAATTTTTGAGCTGAGAGGCTCAAAATCTACTCCAATATAACCTTCCATGGCTGCAAGAAGATTTTTGCTGAGACACTGTGAGGAATTAATCCAGGATTCCCACCAAAGGTTTTCATACCACCCTGGAATAATCCACTGGTACTTGCTGCCATACATTTCTTCATCATAAGCCTACAAAGAAAGAAAAGTAGAAAAGCTGATAGACATTGTAATAGACATACTGAACATAAAAGTAATTGTTTTCTGTTCATGTTTTTTCCATGATTAATGAAAGTATGGCATAATTGAAGGATACACAAGTATTTTGAACAGTTTAGAATAATTACTTGCTAACAATGAAGACTCCTTTCTTGAAGATTCCTGTTATTAACATTCAGGTCACGAGAAGAGAATATACTAAAACCTAGTTTGCTTTCAATAGACCATTTATTCAAAACCAGAAAAATAAAATACTGGATTCTAAACCTGGGGGAGATAAAGAGGAACACTGACAGAAGGCAGAGCATTTGCATAAAAACTTCTCCATAACACAACTATTGCATGAGTGGTAGGACCACCATGCTGCCATGTTTAAACTAAATTATTATCATCCTAATATCATCCTAAAGACGACATAAGATAAGGTTAAACAAGACAACTTGAATCCTAGGCACCATCAAATCACAATGTTGCAAATCTGAATCATGTGACTATGTTAAAACTGAGACCACAGGGACATTAAGTAAGCAGTTTCTTCTGAGGAGAATGAATCAATAGTAAATTGATAAAGCAAGCAAATCTCAGTGATTTCTTTTTTTCAGCAAGAAATTTCTCCAGGTGAAATTCTATATTGTTTGAATACTGAATACAGCCCAATGTGCTCCAAGATACTGAGATGATGGTTATCTCCTTACACTACATAGCAGATACATATAACAGGAAACAAATACTTTTAGTCAGGCACATACGCTGTTGTGCCTCAAAGCTGATCTATTCACAAAAGATATTCTATTCCATTGTCTGGATTAGTGTTCAAGGATAAAATTAGCAAATTTTATCTCAGATGTTTATCTCATTGTCTTCTGCCTAGATATTCTTCTTTTGACATTGCAGTCAGACTCCATTTCAAAACAGCAGGTTTCATGCTTCTTTGGCTCCTAATACAGGCAATACTGGTGATACAAGACATAAGATAAAAATGCCAATTTTTAGAAATACATGGTACAATCTTAGAGTTCTTATCTGGAGAGCTGCTACATCTTCACAGAAAATGTTACAGAAGGAGGAAATTATGAGAATGCAAACAGGACATATTAGTCATTCAGAACATAACTGTTTTGAAAAGTATCCCAAAGATTGTACCAAAAGCCTATCAGAAAAATAAAGATGAAGAGCAAAAAATATGAAATAGGACAGCCTCCTAAATACATTAATACCCAAATTAAAACTGAGCTTTAAATCTGTGAAGGCCATTATAATGGTGTCAACTCGGTTCATAAATGTATTGTGCACAAAGCAGATTTGTTTGGCCCCTGGTTGCAGGAGCTTTTGTTCAGCCAAAATCAAATTTCATGCATTTGTATACAGTGCTGCTTGGAAGTGCTCTTGTCTGAAACCCAGTGTCTTGCATCTCATATCTTACTTATTCCACAATCCACATAAATTCTTGTCTTTCTCTCACTTATTAATTCTACCCTTCTAGAAACATGTCTGCTTTTGCCCTCTTGCCCATCTCCACTCCTCCTACAGCTATGGTGACACCACGTCCGAGGACCACCTGCAAGGAAAACAGCAACCCCATCCTGCAACACTTTCTGACGTCTAAAAGAGTTTCCGTTACACAATGAGGTCATTCAAGACCTTTCAGTGATATAGTATCTTTTATTTGACAGTCTTCAAATCACTGAGGACACAAAATTAACAGGGAATAGTGCTTTTAGAGAAGGACAATGATCAGTAGCTTCCCCTGCTCTATACAGATTAAACTATCAAATTATCTGTTGCAATAAAGTATTGGCTATGAACTATTCTGTTGGAATTTTTCTGTTTGCACTTAAGCCTGTTTCCTGCATAAGCTGTAAATGTCCTGGGATATGGGCTGAAAATTAAAGTTGCAAAATAGCCAGAAATTCCATCCTGGAAACAAGGGATCATTCCCAAGGTTGTACTGAAACTTTCACATTCCTGCAAGAATTTGGTTACACGTCTAGGTTTTGCTTTAAAAAACAAAACCTAAATGCTTTAAGAGCTGGCAACTCTTCATTCAAGATCTGGCGGAATGGTAGGGTTTGGAGGGTAATCTGGGGAAAGCAAAAGAAGGAGGAACAAAATCAGTTCCTCCACAGCTGAGCACAATGACCATGCAGTCACTTTTCTAGTGACAGCACAGTTGTTAGTGTTCAGGCATTTCAGTGTTTGGGTTCCAGATGACTTATTTCAAAATAATGTTTTCTGCCACTATTTCCTCCCTGTTGATTCTGCTAAATGGAGATGATTTTCATCCTTAAAAGATACAGTTCCTTGAAATATGCAGATCTTTCTTGAACTGTTTGAATGCACACAGACCACTTCTTACAGGTTTTAGTTTCTAAGGGGAAGATTTGTTGGCACACAAGAGTATGGCAAAGAAGGTTTACAAGTGCTTTGTACCATCAGAACAGCATAAAGTAGTCATATGTCTTCCCTAATCTTTCCCACATGCCCTACCTAGGCTGCAGAGCCCTGAGTTGTCGAGCAGCCAGGAAACCGTCCTGGACATTTTCTGCCCTTGTGAGACTGATTTCTTTTACTTTTTTTCAAACTTTTCTTTCTTGTTTGAATCCATAAAGAGATGTTTATTTACAACAAAGACATTTCTGTAAGAGATGTTTCTATGTGTAGTAAACAATTACTAGCAGTTTGTTCAAAAGGGCCTGCAAAACCTTGCCACTGTTAAATTGCCATCATGTTTCCAACATGACAGCATGGACACATCCTATATCCTACCCTTACAAGAATGCCTGTAGAATTCTGAATTGCAATGAACCTCAATCTGTTTCTTATTAAAAATCAATAGTGCCTTTAATTCCAAAACAGAGATTCAGCAGTAAAACTCTATCGGCTCAAGAACAGGGTCCAGTCCTTTTGTATCAACCATGCTGATTAAGCCTGGCTTTAGTTATTGTTAAATGTTTAGTAAAAGAGACACCTAAAGCTCATGCAGTGACCTACGCTTAACAGTCATCTTCTTTATTTGTCTTCAGACAGATAATTGTATCAGCTAAGTGTCAGTCTTGATGTGTGCATGGTTATACTGCATTACCTTAAAGATAATATGTTGGAAAAATCCCACTAAAAATTTTTTAAAAATAAAATTTTCTGCAGAATGAACTTTTCATTGGGAAGATGCAATTTCATGTTAATCCAATTTCAAATGAAAAAAAGATGATGTCTAACACATCCAATACAGCAGATCATTTTGATTGTTGAAGTGTTAAGTTTTGAGCAAAATACCCTAATTTCGATTCCATGAAAAATATCACATTCATCCCACTGAGGTGAAAACAACATTAGAAACCTAAGATTTCCCACAGAATTAAAATTGTTAACTGCTTTTGACACTAGTGTTAGATGAATAGCTAAGCCTATTTAAATCACCATAGGAAACACCTGCTAACATGCACTTTGGCTTGAATCAGTCCTGTCATGTTTTTAAAGTTTGCCACTGAATTACACTATCTTTTTGCCCATTTATCTTTATGTGCTCTGCACCTTGTGTGTGTGTGTGTGTGTATGTGTGTTAGGAGTGGAGGGGGAGGAAATAGCCAGGCAAAATGAAAATGAGCATATAAACTCCAATGGATGTCCTGAAGAAACCTCACAGCATATGACTGTTGAATCCAGACAGAAAACTGAGCCAGATTTTAAAGATTTTCCCACCTACATAAATCATTAGCAAATAATATTCAGGTTATAACCATAATTGGAAAAAAAAAAAAATCTCACACTAGTACCATAGCATCTTCCTTTAACAAACCCAAAGGCTTTCTCTGGCTGACATCAGCCACCCTGCAAAATACAACAGAGAATCACAAGTGAACCTGTCTGAAGATACACCTGGGGAAGGGGGTTAAAAAACTTGACACATCTAAATTATTGCGCCCTTAGACACATAGCTGTAGGAGTGCATGTGTCAACAATATATTTTATGACTAATAACAAGCTTACTGACATATTGCAGTGTGTTAATATATAAATGACCTACTTTGAACTGCCCTCTCCTGCATTCAGTCTCCTGCTGCAA